GTAAGGTAAACTTGTGCTTCTTCAATCTTGTCTTCTTCTTATTCTTTCACTTTATTCTTGTCTTCTTCTATTCTTTATCCTCCAATGGAGAATAGGCTACCAACCCACTTTATTCTTGTCTTCTTCTATTCTTTATCCTCCAATGGAGAATAGGCTACCAACCCACTTTATTCTTGTCTTCTTCTATTCTTTATCCTCCAATGGAGAATAGGCTACCAACCAGCTCACACCGAGTCGGCCTATCCTTTGTACTTTGCAAGTTACAACACACGACAATGACAAGGCAGTGTGGTCGAGGCCCTTTGTAACAAGCAATGGAATCAGTAGAGAAAAAGATTATTACAGCCTGGAAAGAATGAGGCACCTGTGTATATACAGACGGTCTGGCCGGCTCATTACATTTAGAAAAGACGGACATATAACCAGATTGTTACCGGTACCATCATATTGGAATATTGGAACTCTGCGCTGGCTGCTAAAGATGAGGACGGAGCATGCATGGGAATGCCCTGAGTGCTGTGATGACTAAACTCAACTGTTAAAAACCTCAAACTCGAGTTGCTGTTTTGTACGAAACTGGTTGCATGCTGCGCTGGCTGCTGAAGATGAGGACTGAGCACACATGAATGCCCTGAGTGCTGTGATGTTAATTCTTGATTAAACTCAACTTTGCAAGTTACAGCTTACACCTTGTCCTCCCTATGATTTTTATATTATATGTTTGGTTCTCTCCCAAACCTAAATAATGAATAGTACTGATTCGATTTTACCAATTAATTCATCCTTTTGCGCATGCTGAAAATTCAGGGCTGCACAGCTAGTACAGATGCTATGAAGTGCGCATTTTAGGATGTTTAATTCTCCCCCCCCCCCCCCCCCCAATCCCCGACAGAAAAAACATGGATCCCACTTACCCTCTACCAAGGATTTGAATCTGGGTCTACCACATGGGAGCCAAGCGCTCTAGTCACAGGGCCAGCTGCTGCTCAGCAACTGGATAGAGGTTTAAAAAGAAACGATAATCAAGTGCAACAATCTGCAGAAAGTGAAGCCTGAGGGTGTTCTTCAGTTCTAGGTGGAGACATTCGTATTTTAATGACATAAACTACCATAACGTTCGTAATGAAAGCTAAAAAGATAGAAAACAATGGATGATGATGGCATGTCCCCCAGTGAAAATTGGACCTTTTAAATTACAAAAATTGTATGATCAGTGGCTAACCACCCCACCCCCTCCCTCTCTCAAGAGGTTAAAATCACAAATGGTTCAGTAGTCTTATTAATACTAATGTATATTATCACAGCCAACGTTTTTGAACATTGGGCATTCCCATTCATGCTCAGTACTTCGATGCAGCACAGCCACCCCAAGGTACTTTTACTGATTGTTTCCATAAGAAATTGTTTATGTCCCCTATCTTGACATCAACGACAGCAAAGACTGGCTTCATCAGATATTACTTATCAAAGATCAGGTTAGCGTCTGAAACTTGTCTTTGCCCACCCACAGTCTAGTCAGTACAGCGTCATTGATGAATGTCTTAATGATTAATTATTCAATTTTATACTAATTGTAGGCTTCAGATTGCTAAACTAGGAGATCTGTCCACTGAATTGATGTCTTAATCACTGAAACTGAAATCCTAGATAGATAATTTTGTCGTTACCCATGGTATTTATCGACAGCATTTACCAACTAATGTGACTTATTATCTTAGAATAATTCGTCAGTGTTTTTTCACGAGGCGGATTTGGATATACATACATGGACTCCGTATTTTTAAGGTGTGATATTTATACATTAAAGACTTTTCAATGGATACCTCAAAGACATTTGCTTCAAAAGATGAGGAGATTGAGTACTGGAGAAACCTAGCACAAAAGTATAAACAAGAGTAAGTTTATAGTTTTTTTTTTCAAATTTGTGCCTACTGACATGAGTGAAGATATCTCAAAACTATATTATTTTTTTATCATCTTCTTCTTCTTTGTTCGCTGGCTGTAAGCTCGGGAAGAAAGTCCTGGTTGTTTGTCCGTTTGGGCTTTGTGAAAGGACCTGATTGTGCGTGTACATCCGTTTTACTGGCTAATTTGTGTGCAGTTGGTTGTTTTTTTGGCCCAGATGTTTCCGAAAAAGTGAAGGCTCGAAGACAAATGATCACAAACATCACAAAGAGACAGTCATAATTGTTTGTTTGGTCATGTTGGGGGAAGAGGAAAACTAGAAAATGTCTGTGTGAGTAGATTCTTGACAACCTTTTGTCACGGCATGGAGGGGTCTCAAGACTTGAACTGATGCACTAAGTTGCTGATCGCAGATTATAGACAGGCATGATTGCCCACGCCAGTCGGCAAGCCCTTGATTATGTTGATAATTGCCTGTGTTGGTTTTGGGGCACAGTTGTAGCGAAAACAAGAATAGACCCTCTGCCTCCCCAACAAGCATGTCATAGGAAGCCAGGATTCACAACCATATGGTAAAATTGACTCCATATAGCATGTGCCAGTTTTTTTCCCAACCTCCAATGATGTGGAATTATTGCACAGAATGTTCTTCATTTTATAAAATGCAGTTTTGTCCTGTTCTGTTCTATCCATGTCTAGATACTTAAATTTATTTGTTTGTCCTGAAATAATGCCTTTTGACTTTTATTTTACAGTTTGATTTATTTATGCATGTGTTATACTTATGTATTAGGATAAGATGTTTATTTTGTATATATAACACACACACAGGGGGAAGTCAATAAAAAAAGTCACAAATGGTTACTTAAGATGATAAGAACTTGAAAACCATTTATTTTTACACATACAGCACTTGTCCCATCGTTTTATCAGTCCTCTGTTGAATAGAATTGCATGCTCTGTTTTCTAACCCACATTTTCACTTCACATTTCTTCTGTGTCATTGACAAAAGTCTCCTGCCAAGGTGGGTTTTCAGTGGACCAACAAGTGAAAATCACCAAGGGCTGTAAGATGGATGTTCCAGAAGTTTTCACCCGGGGATGAATAATTTTATCCTGAGTTAACTGAGCCTGTGTGGTCTGGTATTATCGTGAAAAAGCAGTACTCACCTAGTCAGAAGGCCTTACATTCTCTTTAAATTGCATCATGAAGCATCGATAGAACTTTACAGTATGAATCAGCCTTTACATTATCTATTTTTTTTTTTTTTTTTTTTTTTTAAATTGGTTAAAGGTGCTCCTTGACAGTCCCAGAACACTGTCAGCATAACCTTCTCTGCTGATGGCATAACCTTGAATTTTTTTAAACACAAGATGAAGAAGGATGTTTCTGTTGCATTGAAGCACACTTTGATTTAGGCTGGTAGTGATTTGTCCCCAGTAATAATCCTGTTCAGCATGTCTTCTTCTTCAACTGCATATTGACCGAAAGGACAGGCTTAATCGGTTCATTATTTTTGTTTGTCATTGTTTGCTAAACCATGTGAGCACCCTATTGCAGCTGCTACATAGTCAGAAATTACTTGCCTGTCACCTCTTATCATCTCAGCTGCATGGATGCGTCTGTTGCAGTCTCAACAGGATGACCAGATCAGACTTCATCAACAATTTTAGAGCGTCCTTGAGAAAATTTTTTACCCAGCTATGCACCGCTTTAGGAGATAAACATTTGTCAGCATAAACAGGAACCATTTCCTTATGAATGTCTTATGCAGGCATCCCATTTGCACCCCCCCCCCTCCCCCCAAAAAAAGAAAACACAGCGCAACAGTACATAGTTCTATGAGGTTGCACTCTGAGCACAGTCACCATTTTATTTTTGTATTGCAAATGCGCATGCAACACCTAGCACCACGTAACGAATGGAGACATAAAGTTCAGTGTTGCTGTCACATAATGACACCTTTAGAAACCATCATCATGTAACAGGTCCTTTGCTGAACGTCGCTCTCATCACAGTCTGATTGAAAGAAACTCGGTCTTTCGCCAGCTCTCCCGCCTCGTGTACTTTCATACTCAAGGAGTCACTTATATCCTGTGCCCATCTTCATATTGGTCAGCCCCTGCCCCTCCTTTCTGGTACCAGGCCTTCTGCTATAATTTTTTTTTCAATCTGTCGTGGCGCTTGATGTGACCAAAATATTTCAGCTTCCGAGACAGGATGCTGTTTATTAGAAACCACAAACTACAATTTCATGCCATCCCATAACCATTTGTGACTAACTTATTGATTCCTCTTGTGTGTATGTATGTGTGTGTATATATGTATATATATATAAAAATGCGTGTGTGTCAAAATATTATACCTATATGTATGTCTGCAAGAAGTACCGCAAGTGCCCTGGTTCACTTGTGGACAAGTTAAAAAAAAATAAAAATTAAACAGTACCTTCAAAAACCCTACAAAAGTTTTTTTTAAATATTCAAATATCTGCTTTCGTTTTGTCTCTTTTGATTCTTGCTACATAATCTTTTGTTGTGTGTTGACATTTTTTGTATGTGTGTGTGTGCTATCATTGTCTCTTGTCATTGTGTGTCATTGTCTCTTGTCATTCATGCTGTCATTGTCTCTTGTGCTGTCATTGTCTCTTGTCATTGTGTGTCATTGTCTCTTGTCATTCATGCTGTCATCGTCTCTTGTGCTGTCATTGTCTCTTGTTATTTGTGCTGTCATTGTCTCTTGTAATTGTGTGTCATTTGTGCTGTCATTGTCTCTTGTCATTTATGCTGTTATTGCCTCTTAGTAATTTTTGTCTCATTTGTGCTGTCATTGTCAATTTTTGTTTTGTTTGTGCTGCCCTAGTATTTTGTTAGCCTACTTAGATTACCAAGCATTTTTGTATGTGGCCTTTTTTTAAATATCAAAGTAAATTTGACATTTACATTTCAGCATGAAATAAATTTTAATTCCTTTGACATGCTCGTTAGAATGAGCCTGTTCTTGTTTTCCCCCATAATTGGACCTCAAAACTCACTTAAGGAAAAAGTAGACCTCCATACAGGGAAATATTTATTTATGTTTATTTTTCTTTCAGTTACGAAGAAACAAAAGAAGAACTGGAAGAGTTTCAGATCAGCAGTCGTGAGTTAGAGCAAGAACTGGAGACGCAGCTGCGACAGGAGGAGAAGAAAGCCAAGGAGCTCATCTTATCAAATGAAAGATTACAGACTGAATGTGACTCACTCCGGGTTAGTGGCTGCTCGCTTGACTTTGTTTTGCCTGTCTTGTATGTAATCGTAGTTTCAGCTTCATAGCAAACAGGTCGCCTCATAGTTGCTCCGTTCCTGTGCCGACGCAAAACGCACAGAATGCCCATTCACTGCCCCTTCTTGAAAAATGGACACACACTGCAGTCTCAGCATATCCACTAGCTTTCATGCCTGTCATCTGGAAGGCTAACTTTTAAATCAAATGTCTGCGGAAAGTTGGATCTGTCAGCCAAAAGGCACGTATATCGCAGCCATGTTGTAAACCGGCACAACTCATTTATATCTTCAGTTGAACACAGCAGAAGTAGAAATGTCTGTGATTGTTCCAGGAAGTGACCTTTAACCCTTTTGCCTTGCGAGTGCTAAGAAAAATGGGCTATCTTCCTAATAATGGCTTCAAATTATCGAGGCTGAAAATATACCCTAACAGGGCCTCAGTCACGTGTAAATTGTAGACTTCCGCCACCACCGAGAGTATCCCCCATGGGCGGCGTGGAGTGGGGCTAAAACTAGATGGCTGGGACTCACGAGCAAATAAAATGAAGGAAGCAGCAGGAGATGCGGTAGCTGTTGCTCGTAAGTCCCAGCCATCTAGTTTGGCTCCACGCCACGCGTAGCGGAAGTCCGCAATTTAAGTCGCTGGAAGTCTGCAATTTACATGTGACTGAGGCCCTGCTAGGGTATATTTTCGGCCTCGATAATTTGGGACTGTTGTTCGGAAGATAGCCGAAAAATGGTTAATGAACCAGTGGGAATTCCTCTAACAAATCCTCTGAGTTGTTTAGTTGCGTATCCTTTACAGGACGTTGCAGAACCAACCCCAGCATTTTTGGGCTGTTGTGTTTTTTCTAGGCAAATTTACATACAGTAGTTTGCCATTGCTTTCTGGAAGAAAGCGCAGGGCCCGCAGCTGGGATCAAACCCTTCATTACAAAGCACGTTTCCAACGCCGACTAAGTAATCCTCTGGGACAAAATCCAGAAGTTATGAACCGCCAGAATTTACGGCCGGTGAATGCTAAGAAGAGGACTATTAGGACGTGCACTGACCTGATCCTAAATTATGGTGATCATGTGAGGTGGTATAACATGGCCGCCTATGCTTATTGGCATGGCACATGATGATGATTCTTCTGTTTATGGCACATGATAAATGTTTTGTTTATTTCTGTAATTACTTTCTTTGTTTCTATCATTGCTGCCTTTTAAGGAAAGTGACCAAGCTGACATGATGAAAATGGTCATCGACTCGGGAATAAGTGTATGACTGTCGAATGTATATTTATGCAACTTATATGTTAATGACAGTTGGTTTGATGGGGCACATTTGCACAGCGTTGTTGTATTTGCATAACAGTGGTGAATGAGATGTTGAAAGGGTATAGACAGATAGAGAAAGAGAGAGAGAGAGAGAATGGACGAGTACTTACTGTTGTTTATTTTTCTTATATATACAGTCTGTTTGAAGTTATCAAAGTCAACAAAGACTGCATTGATGACTTGAAAAATGTTTTTCAATTTTTTTTTTCCTCGCGTTTACTGGCTGCAAACTGTGGCAGAAAGTTCTAGTTGTTTGTCCACCTCTGGACTTTAGTCTTGTTCCAGAGCACGAGTGTTGCACTCACATCGTTTTACAGATCTGACTTGTTTGTATGCAGATTGTTGGTTTCTTGCCTCTAAGGAAAAGCAGTAGACATTCTCAAAGAGGTCGGATGAGAAGATGATTCAGACGACGTTGAATCGGCAACAGTCAAAAGACTACAAGAACTTCAGGTCAAAAGAGGTGTGCATGAACAAACATGAACACTATGCAGGTAGCCAAAGAAGATGATTTAGGTTTATATGTCGGATCAACATCATGATACAAGTGCTCCATTCTACTTCTAACTCCAGTCTGAGTCCAAAGAATCTCAACGAAGTGCACAAACTCTGTAGGACCGGTGAGGATCCTGAAATACTTTGGGTAGATTTTTGAACCCAAAATTTTGCCCCGGCAGCACCATAGGGCTACTCTTTTCCGATTTCTAATTGCCAAGGGATTTCTAACGTGCGCAACAATATACACAGGCGTCTAATCTTACTACCCAGATACCAAGAGAAATTACCTGAAGTCCACATGAAAAAATCCGAGCCTTCACTGGAGCTTGAACCCGGGACGTCATGCCTCAAGACCACGCAGTTCTCCCCCCCATCCCCCGAACCAAAGAAGAATAGTAAACTAACAAAGAAATGATGTTATCAGTCGCCACACGCTAAGGGAAATACTGAAGATGGGATCCGAGCACTTGCGGACTTTAGGATGCATTGAGGATAATCCGTCAGTTAACTAACTGTGCCGTTAGGGATAGTACCAGAACTGTGATATAGGTGTAGTAGTCACTGGCCAAAGACCATTAGAAACGTGTAAATGTTGGAAAAATGAATTTCTAGAGACGACAGGGTTTAATTTAGATTTTTAGCTACAAGAACACAATAAAAAAAAATTAAGAGGATAAACTTTATCATAAAGTTGTTTGTTTCTATATGCACACCAGTTGTTGAAATAGCTCTGATTGTTTGTGTCTGCACACACATCAGTTGTCTATACAGCTGTGATTATTTGTGTCTGTGCACACATCATTTGTGAATGCATTTGTTTATGCTGTCATCCAGGACAAGTTGCAGAAGCTACAGACAGACAGTCACCACAGAGTGACAGAACTGGAAGACAACTATGCTAGGGTGGAAGCTCATAGAAATGAGCTACAGAAATATATACGTGAATTGGAACAAGATAACGATGATTTGGAAAGAGCTAAACGGTATGTAGGCTTATGGAAGTTCTCTGCTTAGTTCTTTTCTGCTACTTGTTCAAATGCCGGTGTAATGCCGACCACATCACCCATCCTGTGCCGATTGGTCTATAAAATATAGGTCTAGCCCTATATGCCTAAAGGCGTGGACAAGGGCCCTTTCCGTACTTAACCTTTTTTTTTTTAACTTGTTCAGATACTTTTTTTTTTAAAAATGACCTTGGATCCCAGGTCGACCCAGCCTTAAATAGATACCCAGTAGAGTCCTGGGAAGTAAAAGCGGCCTGTGTGATGTTGACCACATCCCCCACTGAGTGCATATTGGTCTGGCGGTCTAGCCCTACAGTCGCAATACGCCTGAAGGTGAGTAAACTCCTGGCTTACTTTACTTATATATGTAAATTATAATAATAATTATAATTGCGCCGTTGGTGTAGAAGTCAGTGTTAAACATTTTTTATTATTAGTGACTTGTGTTAAAAATTTTTTATTATTAGTGACTTATGTAAAATGTTTGTTTAAAAAAATCTTCAGCCTGCAGAGGCCTAGGAAGTGAACCGTGGATCACTGACAACTGCACTGTATTAATCATTTTTCTGTGCTGTAGCTCACAACATCTCCACCCACTCCAACACCCATCAGTAGAGGTCAGCGTTGGTGATTAGCATTTTTTAGCAAGGTCTTTTTAGCCGCTGTCATCATTATCATCATCATTCTGCCTTGCCTGTAAACACCACATAGGGCTCGTAGTCTATCCCTCCATTGTATTCTTCTGTGGGGGGGGGGGGATTTCTAGGATGTGGTCCTTTTGTCCTTCAGATTTCATGGGTAAAAGTATAAAAGTAATAATTCTCCTGGGTTGTATACATTTTTTAAACTCTGCCTTTACTTAAAATTTCGTTTCTTTTCAGTGCCACTGTTGTTTCTTTAGAAGACTTTGAACAGAGGCTGAATCAGGTTAGCCAGGTTTTCTTCTCTTGATTGTAATCATGTAAATGTTTTTGTTTTTCAAATAAACTTGATAAGTTGTCAGGAAAGAAAGTCTGCCTCTCTGGCAGGTAGGGCCTGAAGCCTTGGATGGGATTTGCCTAAAGGTATCAAACTTTACACAATTATGTGTCAGAGCTGGACACTTTGACTTCAGAGGTGCAAAACTTGGGATAATGCACTGCCCTTGATAAAGAGTTTGAGAAAACACAACAAACAGAGAGGCAGTCAGCGTTTTTTAGTCTTATTATGGGAGGAGAAAAGGGCTAGAATATGTAACAACTGGAAGGATTCATAGAAGACGATTGAGGAAGGTAGCTAGACAAGATTCTTGGCATCAATAGAATTATGACAGAAATAAAGAGAGTGAGGACAAACATAAATAGAACAGTGATTGACTGGAACAGTGCTAGATGCATGGAATAGTAACAGAAATAAAGAGACTGGTAACAGACTAAAGAGAACAATGACAAACATAAATAGAGCAGTGAAAGGCAAAAAAAGGGGTAAAGAGAATGATGACAGCGGTAAAGAGTGACAGAAATACATAGAACAATGACAGACACAAACAAATGATTACAGGTAGAAAGATAACACTGACTCACATAAATAGAACAGTGCCAAACATAAAGAGAACAATGACATGAGATTGATTACTGCATTGGAAAATGGTTGCACACAGATTGATATATTCATTTGGGTGTGACTGGATATAAACAAGTAAAGGACCCTTTTTCCACGCTTTCAGGCATATAGGGCTAGACCTGTATTACTGGATAAAGAGAAATATTGATACTTCATAAAACCTTGTTTACTAAGGTTCCTCTTTGTGTGGGTTCCAGGGTTCATTATGGAGAAAACAAGAACAGACCTGTTGCCTCCCCAACAAGCATGTTGTAGGAGTCAACTAACTGGGCTTCCTCTAAAGTCAGAGTACATCTGCCTGGGAGGCAAGGAACCAACAGTCTGCATACAGATAAGCAATATCTGTAAAATGGATGCATACACAAAACTCAGGTCCTGGAACAAAGCTGAAGCCCAAAAATGGACGAACAACTGGGTCTTTCCGCAGGAGTTAACAGCCCTTGAACACAAATAACAAACGTTAAGGTTCTTTATGGCAGTTTATTGAAGCCATGTTCCATACACTCTAAAGTTCATATTTTCGTTTACCGGACTAAGTTCAGTTTGTGAGTAAAGTTTTTACGAAGACCCACGAGGATCTCAATAGAGCTACAGAGTTTGTGCTTTATGCGACACTTTAGGCAGCTGCTACCATTCTGAATAGAGTGGCTGAGCCATTTTTTGATTAAATCTGCCACAGTGAAGTCAATCTTCTCCACTGTAACTTTGTTCCTTCCTTGTTTTGCGGGGAAAAATATCGTCACGTTCAACTAGCGCCTGCGAAGAGTGAGCCTTTAGTTATATTTGTGACCAGGTTATATACGTCATATAAAATTGGCTCAACATTTCTCGCCACCAAGTAGCTCTGAAAAAGACCCTTGCAGTGTTGATGCGATCAAAGAAGACAGACCCAGATGCTGTCATCAATGATGACTGTAACTTCTTCTTCTTCGCGTTCACCAGCTGTACACTCTGGCGGAAAGTTCTGGTTGCTCGTCCACTACTGAACTGCAGTCCTGCTCCAGAACCTGAGTGTTGCGTGTGCATCAGTTTTACAGATCTCATTCTCTTGAATACAGACTGTTGGTTCCTTGCCTCTCCGGCAGATGCACTCCGACTTCAAAGGAAGCCCCCCCAATTAGTCGACTCTTACGACAGGCTTTTGGGGAGGCAGTGGGCCTATTCTTGTTTTCCCCCGGAACCCACACGGGGGGAATGACTGTAACTAATCTAATTTTTCCTGAGATATGAGATAGTTTTTGATGATGAAATACACTATTTTATTTCTTCATGCAGGCAATTGAAAGGAATGCCTTTCTTGAAAGTGAGCTGGATGAAAAGGAGGCTTTGTTTGAGACAGTTCAGAGATTGAGGGATGAAGCAAGAGGTTAGTCATGTGTGCCATTTTGTAGCCAGATTTTTATTTACTGAACACTTCAATAGCGAGATTGTTCAGTTAAATCTTCTTCTTCTTCTTCGCGTTAACAAGCTGTAAACTCCGGCAGAAAGTTCTGGTTGCTCGTCCACTTCTGGACTGCAGTCCTGCTCCAGAACCTGAGTGTTGCATGTGCATCCATTTTACAGATCTGACTCATTTGTATGCAGACTGCTGGTTCCTTGCCTCTCACCTAGATGCACTCCAACTTGAAGGAAGCTCTCAGTTAGTCGACTCTTACAACATGCTTCTGGGTAGGCAGTGGGTCTGTTCTTGTTTTCCCTATAATAGGGCCCCGGACGCCACACAGGTATTCAGTTAAATTGAAAACAGATATCCTCATGAGCCAGAAGCCCAAGCTACAGCATAGAAAAATGATCAATACAGTTGTCAGTGATCCGCGGGTCACTTCCTAGGCCTCTGCAGGTTGCCAGTTGAATAGGCCTGTTGAATAGATATCACATCTTGCTGTATGTATACCATCATTACGTCTGATATACAGTGCGACCGTGGCTAACAAATATAATTAATCCCAGAATCTCATTTATTAGTCAAAACATGTTTTCCTGCATCAGACAACTCAGTCACATTAATGTGTGTGCGCATCCACTTAAACATTCATTTGCCAAACCCATATTTGTTAGCCAAGGCAACAACAACAAAATACACAACTAAAAATGTATATATTAGCCGGGTCTCTCCTTATATGTGGTATCACTGTATTGTAGTTTTACCCATATTGCCCTTTTGTTGTGTGCTGTCTGAGTTACACACTATTCAGCACACTTCCAAGTGTCCAGAAGGTATAACTTTCGCTCCCTCTCACTCGAAGCAGGACTCGATGACAGTAGTTCCACAACATAGCATATTTATTCGACAGAACACAAGAGGGTATACATAAGCCCTCATATCAGAAAAACTGCAGAGACGTAGACATTGATCCTAATTGACATTCAAACATAGTCCATTTAGTTATCACTCGCTCTCTCTCAACTTGTAGCGACCTCTCCCTGACCACTATAGCTCCAAAGGCCTAAAGCATCCCACAACTCTGGGCTCCCCGTACCACTGAACAGGATGAATTCTCGTATCCACTGGACCTTGATATTACTTCAGCAGACAACTACGGCTGACTGGAGACGGACTTCTTGCCGCTCTCCACTACACAGCACGTCAGCCTATTGAAGGACTCTGATGACCGACATGACTTTCTAACACAAGTCCCCTCTAGCACACAGCTCTCGTCGGCATCCCTACTGTTCTGTTTCCGCAGTGACCCTACGTCTCCTCGCGTCGTCACCCAGAACAGTTACTATTGGAGCATCCCGTCCCCTTGGACTTACTTCGCCAGCGGGACTTTACCTTCGACCAGTACCGCAACCTCAACCCTTACTCAGACCTTGATGCCTGATAGTTGTACGGTACTCTTGTCTTACTCGAGTGAGATAATAACTGACCCTGACTTGGTCTCTCTCTCTCTCTCTCTCTCTCTCTCTCTCTCTCTCTCTCTCTCTCTCTGTCTTGCTCTGTCTCTCGGACTTTGGCTGACTCGGACTGACTACTCAGCCCAATATATCTCTGCCAAACTCATGTGGGTGTCTAATGTTTACACGGTAGGCACGCTCCTTTGGGTGTTCTCGGGAATCACGCTCATGTGGGCATTCTCGAGAAAGCACGCTTACGTGGGCGTTCTCGAGGATCACGCTTATGTGGGTGGCTGATGTTACATGAGAATCACGCTGTCACGTAATTCAGTCTTTCTCTGTTCTTCTCGTTACCCATGCTTGTCAGCCCCCACACAGTAAACCCACACGTCTACTTTCTCGTGCGTACACACTTCTTTCGTGATAATACATTTCCACTGGTCAACATTCTGTCCCCCTCAATACTCGGGCCAGTGTTGACCCTGTTCCCCTTGAACTCACAGATAGTACTATCATAATACTATATTCACACACTATTACACTCTCCCAGATCAGCAACACCTGTTAAATTTTTTTCTAGTTTGTGTTGTTTTATATGTAGTTGAAATTTTTCAGTTTTTTTCTTCTTCTTTGTGTTCAACCCAGCAAAAATGGTTTTCTGTCCTCTACTGGACTTGAATCTGGTTCGAGAACTTAAGTTTTGAGTGCATATCTGTTTACAGATCTGGCTTATTTGCAAGCAGACTTTCGGTTCCTCTCCTCTCAGGCAGATGCACTACAGCTTATAAAGACACGCCCCATAATTAGCTGACTTTCACAGAGTACTTTTTAAGGGAAGCAGTGGATCTGTTCTTTTTGTTTTCTTTAAAATGACTCCCAGGGACTGATACAGGGAAGGTTTAGTTTAGATTGAGGATGTTTGTTTAAGAAATGAGAAAGAGCTTGTTCATCCTCCACAGTTAATCTAGCCAGTCTGCCAGAGTGAACCTAGCTAGTCTGCCAGAGTTAACCTAGCTAGTCTGCCAGAGTGAACCTAGCTAGTCTGCTAGAGTGAACCTAGCTAGTCTGCCATAGTAAACCTAGCTAGTCTGCCAGAGTGAACCTAGCTAGTCTGCCATAGTAAACCTAGCTAGTCTGCCAGAGTGAACCTAGCTAGTCTGCCATAGTAAACCTAGCTAGTCTGCCAGAGTTAACCTAGCTAGTCTGCCAGAGTGAACCTAGCTAGTCTGCCAGAGTTAACCTTTTTTTCATTTGCAGATCTGAAGTCAGAGATTGATGTCCGCAAGCATCAGGGCACAGTCATCAAACCCAGTGCTGGTGATGGCATGCCAGTAGCAGTGAAGCAACCCATGCAGGACAGTGGCTATGCAGGACATGGGACATCTCCACCCACTCCAACAACACCCATCAGTAGAGGTCAGCCTTCTTTGTGATTAGCATTGTTAGCAAGGTCTTTGTAGCTGCTGTCATCATCATCATCATGCCTTGCCTGTAAACACCATATAGGGCTCGTAGTTCAGTCTTTTCAACATCATGTATGGAATTCAGCACTCCTTGTGTCAGTTCCAGGGCATTGTTGGTGGGGGGAAAAAAACAGACTAGATCCACTGCATGTCAAAAAGGTGGGCCGACTAATTTGGGGGGTTTCCTTTGAAGGCAGAGTGCATCTGCCTGAGAGGCCGCAAACTAACAGTCTGTATATGAATAAGATAGGTCTGTAAACTGGATGTGCATGGAAAACTTAAGGTCTGCAACAAGACTAAACAAGCAGGACCTTATTTAAATATCTAGGATCATTTTTCACCTCATATGGAAGAATGGATGAAGCAAACCAGGTTATGGGACAATTAACACTGCTTCTGACACATAGAAAGATACCTCTGGCAACCAAAGCAAATCTCATAAAAACAGTTTTTTAGTCTACATTGTGCTACTAGTGCCAAACATGGACCCTTACTACAACTGATGAGCAAAAGATAGTAACAACAGAAATGAGATGTCTTAGGAGAGCTGCCTGTGTGACAAGAAGAGATACAATCAAGATTGAAGTAATTAGAAGAAGATTAGGACCGAAACCAGTCATACAGTTCATTGAAGAACAACAAATGAGATGGTTTGGCCGCCGGATGGGAATGCCCTGGTACCAACTACCACAGAGAGCCACGCTGAAGAAATATAATAAACACAGAGCAAGGAAAAGACCAAGTTAAAGATAAAGCGACACCATAAAGAGCAGCCTAACAGAAATGAACACTAACTTGTACAATTCATTGGAAAAACCCCACAAATGATCCTTACACCCCCCTCCCAACACCTCACTGAGGTAAATGATGGAAGAGAAGAAGAAGCAGGACTTTCAGCCAGAGTTCACAGCCAGTGAACATAAAGAAGAAGAATTGAGTACAGTACCTTTGGCAAGAGAGACAATATTCGTTTTAGCGTTTCTCTTGGTGGATATCCATGTAAATGCTCATCAAGACTTAAAATATATAAATCCAAATAAAAAGTAGACCAGCGACGTTCACCTTTCATTTTTGTTTGTAATAGTGTGAAGCTTCACACTATTACAAACACAAATGAAAGGTGAATGTCGCGGCTATAGAGCCTTCATCGGCACATTACATAAATCAACAAAACAACATGTACAGACATGACTACCCAAATTCAGTTAACTGACATATTCCTGCTATGTTGTTGTCCCGCCATTGGAATGACAGACAGGGCGTGGCTGCCAAGTTTAAATAGCAGAGAATGCCAAAGGCCACGACTCAAGAATATTATTCGAAACTGTGTTGACTGTTAGGTCCCCTAAATGTGTTTGTACCTATGGTCAAATTAAGGCCATCCTAAAAAAAAATTTTTTTACACAGAATCAATTTATCATCCAAAACACTAATCAGAGTAAGGGGGTAATCAGTAAAAATGAATGCAGCTTAGAATGAACCGGTTTACAAGTTTTGTGGCCTGTAAATTAATTATGAAAAGAGAGGTGACTGCTGTCAGGCTAATACCAAGAAATTATTCCAGTGAACTGTGACTAAAAAGCTTAATGAAATAGGGAATGAGAACATCGAGCACAAAACACATAATTGACTTTTTGGCCTGGGCCTTTCTCAACATGGACTAACTACCAAATGACAAAGGGAAGAGCACTCCAATTAATTATAGTGTGATATGTGAGCTGGTTACCTAGAAACCAGTGTAGCCAGTGGAGAAAATATGACCGGAATTTTTACACAGAGGACCCTCTCTCCCATGGTGTTTTTAGTAGATGTTGTAATCATTCCCGGTCACGCTGAACATTTGTGCAGATGCATTTAATTCTTTTAGTTAGCTAGACATCTTGTAAACATATCAGTGTAAATGAGTCGGGAAAGAAACCTTTACCGCAAAATGGCACTAACCAGAAGTGGTGGCTTCTAGGGTGATAGGGTCAACTTCCATTCAAACTACAAATGTTTGCATTATACAGTGTGCATGGAAGCTAGACTTGCCAAATGTAACTTGTATTTGTGATTTCATTATTCCGTCATGTTATTCTTTCACAGCACTCTCTGTGCCTGGAGTTAGTAATGGCACTACAGGGACCCCTTTTACACCTTCAGCTCGAATATCTGCTCTCAACATTGTAGGAGATTTACTCAGGAAGGTTGGGGTAAGAACACTTTCTATGAGGTTTTTAGATTTGATGTATTCCTTAGAAGTTAGAAGGAACCTACCTACATTCTGCATACAAATAAGCCGTTTTGTAAAACGGATGGGTACTCAAAGTTTAAGTTCTGGAACTAGACTAGAGTCCAGAAGTGGATGAACAACCAGAACTTTCTCCAGAGTTTACAGCTGGTAAATGCAATGAACAAGTTTTGATGTAACGTGAACTAGTTGGGTGTGGTTAATACTGGTTGGATCTGGTATAATACTGGTTGGGTCTGGTATAATACTGGTTGGGTCTGGTATAATACTGGTCCGGTCTGGTACAATGCTTGTTGGGTCTGATATAATACTGGTTTCGTCTGGTATAATACTGGTTGGATGTAGTGTAAAACTGGTTGGATGTGGTGTAATACTGATGTAAAGCTGGTTTTATCCATGGTAAAACTAGTTTCATTCATTGTAACACTGGCCTCAATTATCTGGAGGGCTCGTGCATACCTCAAGATAAGCTCAGATCTGAAGCACCCTTTACACCACATGCTCTTTAAAAAAATATGCAATAGGCTTAAAAGGGGCAAATCATGGCTGGGTAGGACATCAGCAGAGGAGGACATCATGCAGGTTTGCAGCCATACAGACATCCATCCAGGTGACGAATGGATACCAGCATCTAAAGCGCCTAATCTCACATTCTCATGTGTCGGGATGCTCAATAGGAGTTTTCGGGAGCAGAATCTAGCTGCTGTCAATGCCGAGGTATGAGCACTTATCAGTGACAAGTTAGATGAGACAGATGTACTGATCTTCACAGATGGGTTCGTTATACGAGGACATAAGAGTGCATTGGCATTTACAGCTCGCTCTTCAGGCAGAACAGGTCAAGAAGCCAGCAGTGCCTTCTCCATGACCATCAGCAGCATGACGATGGAGGTGATGGCGGTGACACAAGCTTTCATGGGGCTAGAATCACAGGACTATTCCCGCGTGTGTGTGCTGAGTGACACTATGAGCATGACCCGATGGGTCAAGGCAGGCTGGTTATGCAGACAGTGGTTTGAGTCATTGCAAAACTCTCCTGTGTGTGCAGTTACCTTCAAATTCGTCCCAGGTTATGTAGGCATTGTTGGTAAAGAAAGAGCTGATAGACTGGCAGGTGCTGCATTAATTGAAGATGGCCAGCCCATGGATCACGCAAACATTGTCATTGCCCTTAGATAGATAGGATGTTCTAAGGATTTTGGAAGCAACGTGTCTACATCACTGCTAAGAATACGTGAACTAGGAGTAAAGCCAACCATGAGAAGCACACCCGACGCACATGAAGTCTTGTTAACCAACATAGGACTGGCACTATTAACTGCACGGCGCTGATGAATATGTTGAATCTAATCGCCTATGGATGTGTCCGGAGTGCTGTGAAGATTATCTAACCCATATCTCATGACTGGCCTTAATTATTTAAATGTAATTATTTGAACTCATGATTTCCAAATGTTCATACTGGGATAACTTCTGCTGAAGTTGTCATTTCATTTTATTGACCAATCCTTTATCATCACATGGCCGTTCATTTTATATATAAAATAAATATCACTTTCATTTCTTCATCATAACGGTCTCCAGCTGTAGACTCAGGTATAATGTTCTGATTGTTTGTCCACTTCTGGACTTTGATCTTATTGCAGAGCTTGAGTTTTGAAAACACCCCTAATTATCTCCTGCAACTTGCTTGTTAAGGGGGAGGGGTCCCTCCCTCCCCTTCCTCTCAATGGACCCCCAGAACCCACAAGAGGAAAATATCACCTTAATATCCGCTGATATTCTTTAACAGGAAATTAGAAACTGGAGATAATAATCATCACAGCCTGAAAAGAATTGAAAAAAAAAAATTGTTTTGTGGATGCATTGTTTTGTGTTTTTGATTAGTGAATCATCTATTTTTTTAATGATTGTCGAGGGTGTACTTTTTGTTGATGTTCTACTTTACTGTCAGTGTACTACTACTTGTCTGTTATGGGCGCACTACTTTACTGTCAGTGTATTACTGCTCTTCTGTTAATAGCACACTACTTTACTGTCAGTGTATTACTGCTTTTCTGTTATTGGCATACTACATTTCTGTTGAAGTACTACCGCTTTTCTGTTGTAATTAATATGACACTACTTTTCTATTACATTTATTGGGGCACTACGTTGCTATTACATTTATTGGGGCACTAATTCATTTTGAAAAGTTTTGGATGTCATTGTGTTTCTTTGTTTTTCCTGGGACACCATTTATAAAAAAAATTGTGCAGTGAGTTCAGTCACTTGTTATTATTGTATTATCGGGGTGATTTTATATAGCATTTGTCAACTTGCAGTTTTCTATTTCCAGACATACAGTCGCTATTAAAACGATCAGAATAACCCTTTCTGTGCCATTAGGTTTTATTTGTTAAATTCTTTGCTGTCTGTACCGACGTCCTAACACATTAGTCTGCCCATACATGCTAAGGTCTCCGATAAAGTAGCCATCTCCATGCCTCCGTGCTCACCGCACCCAGTACGAGTTGACTGACACATTAGTGACTTCCTGTATGTTTGATATGGGCTACTAGGTGCATATTTTTATAGACCAGACAAAATTTGATAGATTATGTGGATTTTCTTATCCTTTTAGAATCTTCTTATAGTCCCAGCTGTGTGGTGTTGGTAGTCATGTCTATCCACAACCTTCTCATAGTCCATGCCGTGTGGTGTTGGTAGTCATGTCTATCCACAACCTTCTTATAGTCCATGCCATGTGTCGTTGGTAGTCATGTCTATCCACAAACTTCTTATAGTCCATGATATGTGGTGTTGATAGTCATGTCTATCCACAGCCTTCTTATAGTCCATGCCATGTGGTGTTGGTAGTCATGTCTATCAACAACCTTATATTCCATGCCGTGTGGTGTTGATAGTCATGTCTATCCACAACCTTCTTATAGTCCATGCCGTGTGGCGTTGGTAGTCGTGTCTATCCACAACTTTCATATATAGTCCATGCCGTGTGGTGTTGGTAGTCATGTCTATCCACAACCTTCTTATAGTCCATGCCATGTGGTGTTGGTAGTCATGTCTATCCACAATCTTCTTATAGTCCATGTCATGTGTTGTTGATAGTCTTGTCTATCCACAACCTTCTGTCTTGTGTACTTTCAATCAGTCCTGACACAGATGATCTTCCTTGACATGATGTCAAACTCTCCAGCATCTTCTCTCTGTCTGCTTCTGCTTCTCTTCCTATTGTCATGTGCTACTGCAGTTTTCTCTTTCTTTGAGATAAACAAAGAATGTAGATTGTCTTCTGATAAGGGCAATTGGTTCTTTTTATAAGTCAGTTTCTTTCAAGACATCTTCAGTACCATATTTTTTTTCTGTCCAGGGTATTCCCATCATTTTAGAATAACTGATTAAAAAAAAAAATTATAATAATATCAAAAAAATTATAACTCAACAGAAATAATAATAAATGCAATAGAATTATATCTCAACTCCACCGAAACATGACTCAGATCTAATGTTCCTCTTTCTCCTACTTGTACCCAAGCATAAAAGCAAAAGTCAAATCTTCACCTGGTTTCGTCTAGTTAGTAGTTGTTATTTTTTGGGTTTTTAAACCATTCTGTGATATCCAGCTTTCAGGAAGGTTTCGAGGTAACTCTGAAGTATTGCCAGATAGGACACCAGCTCAGTCTGATGTGGAAAGCTCGGTATATTCTCTTATGGTATATCTGAATGAACATGCTTGCAGCTTGAGAGTGTTCCTTGGATGTCTATATCTGTACCCTTTTGTATGTGCTTGTAAATAGATTCCTTATTTTCTGCTTCATACTAGTGCCTGGCACATTCATTAACCCCTCCTCCCCCCCCACCCCCCCCCCCCCCCCCCACCCACCCCAACCCGAGGAAGAGATTTTTTTTTTTTAACTTTTTAACCTATGACAGTTTCTGATAAAAGTCTTTTTAAATAAAAATTATTTTGAAAAAAAACTTTTTACACAGGTAACTAATAAATAGGGAGTCACCATGTTGTAGTGGCTAGATGCTCGACTGCTGATCGGAAAATGGTGGGTTTGGGTCCTGATGTAGCAAGACTTTTAAAATAATGCAGATACAAACAAAACATTGCACAATTTATTGCCAGGCATATTTCGCTGTATCTCATCAGGTGTGTTACTGCAGAGTTACATCAACATAAAATAAAGCACAAAACTGAATAAATTCAACTGAAATGCGAATAGTTTCTTCCAAAACATTGCGTCTGTTCCATGGCCACCGGATGTAACCCTGTAGTAACGCACCTGATGAGATACAGCGAAATATGCCTTTCAATAAATTGTGCAATGTATTGTTTGTATCTGCATTATTTAAATTGATTACTTGAAGACTTTTTTAAAATTTTCAAGTGACCTCGACCTCCAGGTTTACCCAGCCTTGAGTGGGTACCGGGTACAGTAATGCTGACCACAAAGTGTCGATAGGTCTATCAAATATAGGTCTAGCTGTGTATGCCTAATATCTATTGTCATTACCAGAAATCAGAACACTTGTCGAGGAAAAATACAAGGGATTGTAGAGGGACCAAACTAACAGTAAACATTCACAAGACCCTATCAACAGACTCAACAGAAAGCAACATACAACAATTCTCCGTCTATGAACAGGACTTCAGGCTCAACTACCACATGCATAAAATAAAAGAATGTACAGTCCCCTCAGTGTGCCTGTCAGACAGGACCACAGTCACCTGAACACATTCCGCAGACCTGCCCACTCTACCGACAACTTCGAATAGACGCCTGGCCTCAAGAGCAAAGTGTGCACAGCAAGCTACGGGCAACCTTGAAGGACCTGTAGCTGACATGCGGGTTCATAGAGGGAACCCACATAATGGTCTGATCTGAGCATACGAACCAGACACAAAGAAAGAACAGATATGCCCGAAGGTGTGGAAAAGGCTACTTTTAACAAAAGAAAAGTCAATAAATAAATAAATAGTTTTAAATGTTTATTTATCTACACATCATTTCACACACACACACACACACGTACTTAATGTATGTATTCCGGGATTTAAAACAAATATATATCTGGTGACTCAGACCATGGCCCTGTGACCTCTATCACTGAGGCATGCGAGAAAAAACGAGAAGTCAACCAGGCTTTGAAAAGCTTTTGGATTTACAAGGAAACTCCTCTGAATGCTATTTTTACCTAATATAGGAGGTACACAGGACCAGAGGCATTTAAGTAAGCTTTTCGAGACGGAAGTGACTAGATGTAGTCTTTTTTGGGATGTTAGGGTTAATGATAAGGTATTATCATCATCATCATTATCCATGCCGATAAGTATAGGCCAGGGCTATTCAACTGGCGGCCCGCGGGCACAATCCGGCCCGTGGAGGCCTGGCAAGTGGCCCGCGAATCATTGTCATTTGTATTGTATTAGTGATATTTCTATGCCGGAGCTCGGGCTTCTGGCCTCTGACTATCCTGTTTTTCAAATTCTGGCCCCTGCGTAAACTTAGTTGAATAGCCCTGGTATAGGCTGTCATGTTTCGCCATCTCACATGATCACAAGAATCACAGATCAGTTCAGTGTTTGTGTCTGTTCCCATCCATTTTCCCTGGCCCATCCAGGTATTTATATATTTGGCTTTCTCTTGCTCTCTTTCCAATAATCTTACCAGTTGTAACCAAGTTCTCAAGTTCATTTCTTCTCATAACATGTCAAGAACTCATTGAATGTCTACTTCTAATTGTTCTAAGTTTACGACTTTCATCTTTGTCCATGAGAACTGCTGTTTATTTGTCTATACTTTCATGATATTCTTGGCATTCTTCTTAAGAACCACATAATTGTGGCAAGTAAAGGTTTTTCAGCTCATCTGCTCATTGTCCATGTCTCACATGCATATAACACCACAGGTTCTAATAGCACTTTAACACTTTTTTCTCTCCGCAATTGATGAGAATCTTTCACATCTTTCTAAAGGCTACTGTAATGTATACTTCCCATTCATGGCATGTTAAACTCCTAGAGCTGAATGCTAGTCGTGGTTAGGAGTAACATACAAGGAAAATACAGGACTACTCGCTTCTTCTCCTCGTTCACTGGCTATGAATTGCGGCGGAAGGTCCCGGTAGTTCGTCCATTGGGACTTTTGGCTTTTATCTGGACCCGAGTTTTGTATGTACATCCAGTTTACTGGCTTATTTGTGTGCCGTTTCCTGCCTCACGGGCAGACTTTGAGGAACAGGAACACTCACATTAATGGTCTTTTAGGATCCAGACTAACTTCAGAGGCGTTATAACTCAAAGTATTGCTTTTTACAAATTTAGTAAGGGAGAAGGCAATTTTCAAAAAGAGAATTACGACGAAACATTGGACCTGTGAAATATGCAAACAGCAGGAAATGGAGAATGAGAAGCAACAAAAAAATTCATAATCTGTTTAAATCACCATTGATCACTGGCATTATGAGATCTAATAGACTAAAAATGGCTTGGGCACATTGAGAGAATGTCAAATGACTGAGAGGTAAAAACTGTATACACAAGGAGTTGAATGGTCGTAGACCACAAGGCAGACCAAGAATACGATGGAGAGATAACGCCCAGACCCTACAAACACTTGGTGTCACCAACTGAAAAGAGAGGGCCAACCAGAGTGATGAGCAGAGGCAGGTGATATCTGCAGCTGCGAACCTCAAGGTCTCGGAGCGCTGAAGAAGAAGAAGAAGAAGAATCTTACACCAATTGTGGGCAATCGCACGTTTGAATGAGAGATAACACTATAAAATGGAAACAGGTTGCATGTTTGACATGGCTTTTTGTTAGACACTAACAGCACTAGCATGGGGCTGCAGGTAGCCGATAGCCACTGCCTTTTAGCTTTACTAATGTTTCAAAGATTTGAGGCCAAGAGTTGGCTTGCTTGTTTCGTATTGTTCTGGTTAAAGTTTTTAAATGCTTCCTTGAGTATTTTTATATAATTTTGACAAGGCAGAAAACTTGGATGTAAACCTCTTGTGCTTGGGGTGGGGGAGGGATAACCTTGTACTTGTGGTGGGGGTAGGGATAACCTTGTACTTGTGGGGGGGGGATGGATTACCTCTTGTACTTGGAGTGGGGGGAGAGATAACCTTGTACTTGGGGTGGGGGTAGGGATAACCTCTTGTACTTGGAGCAGGGGGGGGGGGGGGGTAACCTCTTGTACTTGGGGATGGGAGTGAGGCACCCCCTTTCCCCAGTATTGAGTGATGGTAGGGGGGCTGTCAAGGGGCCTGAGCCTCCAGGTTCAGAATCCACTGACTCGTAAATGTTCTTGTTAAATCATTATTATTATTGTTTTTTTTTAATTTAGGCTTTGGAATCCAAGCTGGCAACTTGCAGAAGCTTTATGAAAGATGATCCTAGAAATAAAGCTGGCGGTGCTAGCCCAGTGAACTCTCCAAGGTAGGAAACTAAAATTTTGAAGCTGCTAGGGACTAAACAGATAGGGCCGGCAGTTGGCCTGGAGATATTACTGTGTATAATTTCTTAGTGACTGTTATTTTTGTTACATGTGGGTGTGTTTTGTGATGTTGTAGGACATTTTTGGCTATCTTAACCTTTTTTGTTTTTTAAATCAAGAGTTTTTCATGATAATTTGTCAGTGTAATTGCCATAGATGCAATTACAGTAAGACTTAATAACAGTGATCATGTTGATCTGTCTATTTAATCTCTGTAGTTATACTGTATTCATTTTGTTTGTATGGCTGTCTCATTCATCTGTGAGGAAATATAAAGGGCCCTTTTTCTTTCCATGAGGTTTACTGGGTGTATTACACTTGTCCCTTCATGTTTATGATTCATATGGATAAGAGTTTTGACAGTGATGAGGGTTTTTCTAAATTCTATCATGAATAAAACAGTTGAATAAATGGTTCTTTATTAATATCTTACCCCAGATGATGTCACAGGACTCTAGCATTTTAGAGAGTGATAAGACTAGGTTTCCTGGCTTTCTGATGCTTTTGAAAACCCCCAAAACATCTAGAACTGGTCTTAACCCCAACCCACCTACATCACATGAGAGAGTGCACCCTGTGTCCAGCCTATCTACAACCCTGAAATATTCTGTTCCGTGACCTGTTGATTTTCCCTGCTTGGGGTAGGAAATTAATAAAAAGCACAGAATAAATTGTTATAGTCATATTATTTTTTCTCTCTCCAAATTTGCGTCTTTAAAATCAAGGTGCATCTTATACATGGGATTGCCTCATAATTGTGGAAATATAGTACCTAAGTGATGCAGTCACAGCCATTAGAACACTGTCTAAGTAAAGAGTACATAAGTGAAAAGTAATTGATCCTTTTGTGTTCGTTGCTTGTTGTCATAAACTGCTAGTAATTCTCATATATTTGTTTCATTATCTGAAGGTGACGTCTGCCAGGTAGGGAATCTAGGATCGCAACAATTGTTTTATTGTCCTTTGCTTTTTTCTCTATCTATTTTCTACCCGTTTGCATCTTCTGCCTCTTTCTGTCTTTTTGTATCATCTGCCTCTTTCTCTTGTCTGTTTTTCTATCTGCTTGCATATGCATATCATAGTTTCACTTTAAAGCCTCATGCAGTAAGTATCTTACTTGTGCGAACTAACTTCTAATTCTGGATCCAGGGCTAACAGGTGCTTGGTTCTCAGTGCATGAACACGCGGTCTAACAATGGTGCTCGCTGAATCTTTCCCTGCAGGTCAATTTAATGTATGATCAAATGTTGTGGCCAAGCATGTGGATGGATATTTTTTGCATGCTGTTTGTTGTAATGCCTTAGTGAAGTTGTGTGCACACTGCTGCTTTAAGCTTATCGTTTAGAATCACTGTTAGCTTGCTTGTGGTGGCTGAGATGGTTGGATTGTTGATTTTCATTCATGTACTGATATAAGATTGTATGAAAATGTCACACGACTCATCATCATTTAGCAGGTGCTTGCAAAACGCCACTGTCTTCACAGTCTGTCTGAAAGAAACTCTCCCGTCTCGTGCACATTCTTACCCACTTTGTCACTCATATCCTGTGCTCATGGCCCATTTTTGTTGCACCACCGATTAAAAAAAAGGTGTCTCGTCTCTACAGATTTATGTTTTCTTGTTTGTAATTGTATCCTCGTTTGTTTGGGTCACGCAGGTGAAGGCTTTCTACCCGCAACTTTTGCTTTCATTGTGATAATGTGGGAATTTGACAAATTCTTCTTCATGTCTGGTTTGATGTTGGCTCCTCGAGGAAGGTTGACTACCGTGCAGCCACTTTTGAGTTAGGAAATATATTACATGATAAGAGCCAAATCTTTTCCAGGATGCTCCATACCATAATGTCAAACTGTCCAGCATCTTATCTCTTTGTTTTCTTCTGCCTCTCTTCCCCTTCAGCTTTCCAGTTTTCACAGTGTACTCAGTGTTCCCCTTCTCATGTTGTTAGCAAAGAATGTGTTTTGTCCCAATAACCACTGGTTCCTAGCGCCATTTTTTTTTAACTTGCCAAATATCTTCCATGTTTTTTCAAAGCCAATTCTGCTGAAAGCCCATTAGTGTTGAAGAGAGCCATCAGTATTGTAGAGAGCCATCAGTATTGTAGAGAGCCATCAGTATTGTATTGTAGAGAGCCATCAGTATTGTAGAGAGCCATCAGTATTGTAGAGAGCCATCAGTGTTGAAGAGAGCTATCAGTGTTGAAGAGAGCCATCAGTATTGGATTGTAGAGAGCCATCAGTTTTGTATTGTAGAGAGCCATCAGTATTGTAGAAAAACATCAGTATTGTAGAAAAACATCAGTATTGTATTGTAGAGAGCCATCAGTATTGTATTGTAGAGAGCCATCAGTATTGTAGAGAGCCATCAGTATTGTAGAGAGCCATCAGTGTTGTAGAGAGCCATCAGTATTGTAGAGAGCCATCAGTATTGTAAAGAGCCATCAGTATTGTAGAGAGCCATCAGTATTGTAAAGAGCCATCAGTATTGTAAAGAGCCATCAGTATTGTAGAGAGCCATCAGTGTTGAAGAGGGCCATCAGTGTTGTAGAGAGCCATCAGTGTTGTAGAGAGCCATCAGTGTTAAGAGAGCCATCAGTGTTGTAGAGAGCCATCAGTATTGTAGAGAGCCATCAGTGTTGTAGAGAGCCATCAGTATTGTAGAGAGCCATCAGTATTGTAGAGAGCCATCAGTATTGTAGAAAACCATCAGTATTGTAGAGAGCCATGTAGAGAGCCATCAGTATTGTAGAGAGCCATCAGTATTGTAGAGAGCCATCAGTGTTGTAGAGAGCCATCAGTGTTGTAGAGAGCCATCAGTGTTGTAGAGAGCCATCAGTATTGTAGAGAGCCATCAGTGTTGTAGAGAGCCATAAGTGTTGTAGAGAGCCATCAGTATTGTAGAGAGCCATCAGTGTTGTAGAGAGCCATCAGTGTTGTAGAGAGCCGTTAGTCTTGTAGAGAGCCGTTAGTCTTGTAGAGAGCCGTTAGTCTTGTAGAGAGCTGTAAGCGTTGTAGAGAGCCACTAGTGTTGTAGAGAGCCATCAGTATTGTAGAGACTGAAAAGCTTTGCTGAAGCCCTTCAGTTTTTGTTTTGTATACAAACGTGGACATTTGTTGTCATTCTGCAATGTCCTTATATCTGTGAACTTTCACTATCTGCACAGCATTTCACAAACACCACACATCATCATCATTCCTAATATGTCCAATAATGCCTCCTTGGGTGGCAGGGAATGCTCATGTTCTGCCCCTGCCTTCTCCTGCGGGCTGATCAGCATTATGTGGCTTCTCTGGACCAGCCTGATTGGGGCACCACCTGTGACCTGGGAAATAAAGATGACCACACAACAATGAGACTGCCATGTCCTACCCGGGAAGGCTTACCCGGTCAACAAATGCCCGCAGAAGTCGGATGTGTTGGCCGAAAGGTGCAAATATCGCAGCCATGCTGTAAACGGACACAACGCAATTACATCTTCCGATGAACGCATAAGAAGGAGAATAAAGAGTAGCCTAACGGCACTGCCCGGGCAAAATCTGGACTTACAAATCTACTAAAGTATTTCATGATCCTCGCCGGTGCTGTGGAGAACGTGCACTGCACCGAGATTCTTCTTGAGTTGGAAGTAGAACGGAGCACTTATAGGTTGACTTATAGACTTGTGCCACTTTGTTGATCTACTGTTTAAACCTTAAACCTATGTGTCACATGCTTTAATGTATAATTGTTGTCTGTTAACATTGTATAATTGTTGTCTGTTAACATTGTATTGTATAGTTGGTGCCTGTAAACATTTTATTGTATAGTTGGTGTCTGTTAACATTTTTTTTCAGTTCTTGTTAGTTATTATTGTCTTATTGTGCTATCTATTTATTTTTCATTCTCTCCCCTCCAAAGTATTAGCAGAAATATTTGGGGCAACTTGATATATGCAGGTGATTTTGCTAATTTTTTTCCTTTTTTTTTCCTTTCATTTTTTTATTTGGTCATTTGACCAGTCTCAATCACAGTTCTTCCCCCTCCCCCGCATCTTCCTACCCATCCTGTTAGTTATCTATTTTACTTTGGTCTAGCCACACTCATCATCGCTTTACTTCCCTTTTTCACCCCATATACCCCAACGTCGCCTTCCTGCTTACTTCATTATCATTCTTCTTTACATTCATCAGCTGTTAACCCCAGCATACATTTCTGGTTTTTTTTTTGGTCCAGTCTTAGTCTTTGGTCGTGATCTACAACTAGAGTTTTGCATGCACATCTGTTTCGCTGATCTGGCTTATTTGTGTGCAGATGCATTCTTAGGGAAACACCCCTGATTAGGTCACTTTTTAATGGCATGTGGGGGGGGGGGGGGGGTGCAAGGAGTCTATTTTCCCCCCGCTCCAAGATGGTGCCTTGGGACCCACACGGAGTTCATCATTGTTTTATGTACCCCACTTCCTCCATTTCATGGCTGTCTCCATCATCATTGTGTTCACTTGACTGTTCATCATTATTCTGTTTATTGTACTCCTGCATCCTCACTCTTCTCATTATCTTTGTTCTGTTTATTCTGCTTCTGCTGTACATCCTCACTCTTCTCATTATTATTGTTCTGTTTATTCTGCTTCTGCTGTACATCCTCATTCTTCTCATTATTATTGTTCTGTTTATTCTGCTTCTGCTGTGTATCCTCACTCTTCTCATTATTATTGTTCTGTTTATTCTGCTTCTGCTGTGTATCCTCACTCTTCTCACTATCTTTGTTCTGTTCATCATGTTTTAACTTCTTCTTCAACCTCCTGTACCCCACATCCTCACCCTTCCCATTATTATTGTCTCTGTTTCATTATGCATTAGTGCTGCTCACATACATCACTCTTCTCATTATATTTTTTTCTGTTGTGTCATTCTGCTTCTGCTGCTGCAGTCAAAATCCTACTCTTCTCATTATCTTTGTTC